GCTGGTAGTTTCGAACCGCTGACCTTAAGGTTTGCAGCCCGATTCGTAACCACTACGCTACCAGAGCTCCTTATCATTCCCCAAATACTCTTTGCTGAATAAGTCCAACCATAAAAAAGATCATGCATAATATTGGCTCCTCACTGTACTAATTTCAATTACTTATTTCTAAAATATACTGGGTAGGTTTATTTCTTAAGAAACAGCCCATTGGATCTCACCAGTGTTTTCTTGGAGACTGGTTGGAGAGTATGACACATTGTTTCCAATGAGAACTCAGAGAAAGTTCTCTCGGGCTTTAGAATCAGGAATATTTGTACTTCTCATCTGCTTCATGTTATCCAATAAACAAGGTAATCACAGGATAATTGGGGCTTATTTACTAGTCTATAATGAACTGTTTCACATTTCTTCACCATATCAAAGATTCTGCTTCTAGGTATGGCTGGCATCTGTCTCTCTCCCAGCTCCACAGAGGCAAAGTCCTTTTCAAATTTACAATCCTTGATAAGGACAGAGCACCCAGTAAGCAAAGTAAGCACAGTCTTTCTTTCTTGCAAAGATGTGGTGAAACTCTTGCAAAATGTTCACTACAGATTAGTAAGCAAGCACAAGTAAGCCCATGCTTACCTTGCTTATTTAATAATCAGACCTTGCTTCTCATGGAACAACTGTGCTGCCTACTCTGAGCTCAAAGTCACACATGCATCCTACCTCTGTTGTTGTTAAGTGATTCCAACTCATAGCAATAAGTTGGTTCCAACTCATAGCAACCCAGTACAGAGTTTCTGAAGAGCAGCTGGTGGTTTGACCCACTGACTTTGTGGTTTGCCATCCAGTTCTTATCCTATAACACCACACTGTGTGTCCAGCCTACCTCTACCACACACATAATTACACTTGTTGTTATTGTTCAGTCCTATTGAGTCGATTCTGACTCATAGAGACCCTGTATAGGGTTCTCTACGAGCAGATGGTGAGTTCAAACCACCAATCTTGTGGTTCAAACTGACCTAGAGGTCAAGTGCTTATCCTACGGCACCATACCAGGACTCCTTAATCACACTTTGCCCTCTGGTATTGTCTATGCTTCTAACCTTACATTCTACTAAATCCTTTCTTTAGTTGTTTTGATCATATTAAGTGATCAACAGATGAACATTATTTAATAACTTTGTTGGAAAAATTTAGAGTAGATGATGGTAAAATCTGGGGATTCTGTAATGAAAAACAAAACAAAACAAAACTTTTGCCATTACAAGTTTTATCTTCTAGTTACATCCACTTGTCTTACAGAGAAACCCTAAATAAACATTTTCTAACGTAGTATTTTTTGGAGTCCTGTTGTGGCACTGCAGGTTAATGCGCTTTACTGTAAAGTCGCTTTGAATCTCAAGGTTGGTGGTTCAAGCTCACCAGATGCTCCTCAGAAACCCTATACAGGGCCACTATGAGTCAGAACCAACTCCGTGGCACTTAACAACAACAACAACGGCAACAACATAGTATTTTGGAGTCCTGGTGAGGCACTGCAGAATAAGCACTGGACTGCTAACCATAAGAGGTTCAAATCCACCAGCTGTTCCTCGGAAGCCCTATACATGGTTGCTATGAGACAGAACTGACTCCATGCCACTTAACAACAACAACATGTTGTTGTTGTTAGGTGCCATCGAGTCATTACCAACCCATAGTGACCTTATGCACAGCAGA